GATTGGTCAATAGGCGTGTTTGATTCCACGATCAAACAACGATCAAATAGAACGTGCCTAATCACAAAGTATCCAGTGGCCTACACACGCCACTAGCCTACCGAAACTACTTCCATGAGCCTACATCGTGTGGTTTCCATAGCAACGTTTAGCGGCACACAGCCGTTACACTGTTATACATTGTCTCTCATACAGCATACAGCATACAGCGGCTGGCGGAGGCAGGGTTGGAGGCCAGAGAAATCATGTCCGTGAGCGGACATAAAAACGAGTAATCGCTTCGCAGCTACTAGGCTCCATCTCGAGACAACAGAAAGATGTGGAGCAACGCGCTTTTTGCCGGTCCGGGACACGCCATGAAACGGCCACTGGGGGAAAGCTCTTCCTATAACGTAGTCCTACCCGTGAACACCACAGCACCTCCTGCAAAAAAGTCTGGCATGGAGTTCATGGAGAGCTGTTTCAAGAATTGCACTTTTAATGGCAGCATGAACATCCATCTTCATTCTGAACCCAAAATGTTTCAGCACCATGGACAGCCTGATTTGATTTGTTCCGCTAATCCCACACAGTGATTACTCAGATATTTAAATAGCCTAATTCAAGAATTGTTTTCAATAAATTGTTTTCAATAAATTGGTTAATAATATATTATTTACTATAATTATATCAATAACTGTAAGCGGGGTAGCAGGAGTGTTTGATCGGCTATCGTTACCATGGGAACTACTTTATAGGAACTACTTTCTGACGGAGATTAACTCAAGCAGAAAGCGTAGGTTTGGGAGCAAATTAGCCCACATTATGAAATTATTTTACGATATTGCTGATTACAATGATAGTTTGTGTAATAGAATCGCAATCATACACTTGAGGCCGTTCTTGAACGTCATTATTGGTACGACAGTACTGCGACAGGACCGAGGCGCTTGCACCGAGGTCCGTACGCCTGTACTGGAGCCTCTCGTGTATGATTGCTTAATTCCACAACATTCCCACCCCCCAAACTGACCACTGAGTTGGAACATTACAATTCAACAACTCTAAGCTTCATAGAGTACCTGCTTATGAGCTAACCTTTTGTATTAGATTTTCTTTCAATGGGTTACTTTAGTGTGTTGGCTGTTTGGACATCAAATTGTTTAACGGTTCCACTGAGGTTCAGTGAAGAATTACTGTATTGTTGTAATGTGAAAGTATCTCTGAAAATATACCTAACATTTATTTGCTTAAATATACGTATGCAAGCTTTTAAACTTAATCAAGTACTCACCATTAACAGCCTGTCCCCTACTTGTAGTCTGAAGTCCTTCTGAGCTGCACCGCCATCAATGATCTTGGTGACATAAATGCTGTTGTCACCTGGGATGTGCTGGTTTCCAACGCCACCTGCAATACTGAAGCCAAGCCCTGTGTGTGTTTGCATATGTGAAAGTAACTGTTTAGTTTCTAGGTTGTGTGGATGACAGTTGTATGTTAAGCATCATGAAATACCACCAATATATAACGCGCGTGTGTCATGATACTGTACATGTCAACGCTTATACATTTAAATGTTCTTTTAAACCAGCAGTTTGTCTAAATATTATATACTGTATATTCACATTTGAAAGTTTTGGGTCACTTTTTTGTTGGAGGAACAGTTTTACAGAAAACATCTACTGTACTACTACAACTACTACTACAACACCCCAATGCACAGAGCAGTACCGCTAATCTCATTGTAAAAACGAAATATGCTGAAGGAACAGTGGCTACTGAAATGTTCAACTGTTACAATACTTCTGTGTGTGATTGAATGTATGGTGGACTGTGTGTGTGTGTGTGTGTGTGTGTGTGTGTGTGTGTGTGTGTGTGTGTGTGTGTGTGTGTGTGCGCCTGAGCCCACCTTTGGGCCCTTTGATGAGTTTGATCTCGATGATGGTCTCCAGCATCGGCCTGCGGCGCCGCACATACAGCCTCACGATGGAGCCTGCCACCTTCAGAGCCTCCACCGCCTTGCTGTGGCACACCTCAGACACGTCGGCATCGTTCACCCGCAGTATGCAGTCGTTTACTCTGGAAGAGAAGCAGTGTGGAGAAAATGTTATTATTAGTAATCATTTAAAACGCCAAACAAGACGTCCTCTTATATGGATTCACACTATGTTGACTACTTTGTGTATTGTCGTTCTATCACAATTAAAAATAATCAGTGTTGACAAGTTTGATAAAAAAAATTCCAGCTACGAAAATGTACAAAAAGATGAATGTGTTGAATTGAATAAGGTGAGGTTACTAATTAAGCATGTTTGTTCCTCCATCTAGATTTTGGGTATGAAATTGTAATCTATGTTGCTAATGTATAGTTATTAATTGATATTTTTGTTTTTCCACATTTAGATGTATACATTTATTTTTTTCAAATACGCAAAATAATTTATATTCAACTTTGTTCAATGAATGTTCACAGTATAGTCAGAGGAGTTCTATTATCTGCCTCTAGACTTTTGCTCTGCTGATGTTCAGGGGCCGTATTCACAAAGGATCTTAGGGCTAAAAGTAGCTCCTAACTGGCGAATTTAGGAGAAACTCCTAAACATAATGGGCGTGTCAGTCTTAAATTAGGAACTACTATTTTTATTCACTGAAGAGCAATTCACAAAGTATTTTAAGGCCTAAAAGTAGCACCTAAGTTAGGGAGAGCTTAAAAGTCCTCAGAGAGGACTCCTAAACTCAGTAAGGACCTATTCACAAAGAATCTGAAAATTGGCTGCGAGACGAATATTTTTGGAGACAATGGAAGAATGTGATTGATCAAGAGATATAGGCTAAATCGTGAGGTTATCAAACTTGTTGTGGAATTAGTGCGGGATGCAAAACAAGTTCCCCGACTAACACGAATAACCCTATAGTCCGGAATAAAAATGTTTGGCAACACTTTACGATATTTAGGCAACAGGGGAAATGCAAACTTTGCATGCCGACGATTTAGGAATATCGCCACCATCAGTCAGCCGTGCCATAAACCAAACCATCAGCGCGCTCTTGACACAATCATCAAACAGTTTATCCGGTTTCCTTTTGACAATCATAACAACTACACAGGATCAAGCCACTTCATGGCAATTGCAGTATGCCCCGGTGTGGTCGGTGCTTTGACGGGACGCACATAAAAAATAATAGCGACATCAAAAAAGATGAGGACTGTTCGATTAAAGAAAGGAAAGTACATTCCATCAACACGCAGATTGTTTTCTTCATCATGTAGGGGGACTTGAAGTCTTGAACGGGCGGGTATGGGCTATTATGAAAGTGTTTAAGTGCTGTGGAAATATGCATCATTGGATAATAGTTTGCAGGTTGCTTTAATTGCCTCTTGATTTTAATGCAATTTACGTATTTTTATTGTTTGCTCCTCTCTTCTTTAACGATGCATACTACAACGGTCATTATCGTGGTCTGGCACAAACTTGTCTCATGCGTGTATCTGCTAACTGCACTGCTCCATTAACTATTTGATCGCGGAATCCTTTCTAGCTAGGCTATTTCCTTGTTTTTCGGTGATTATAGTGGGCTCGTTTGTGGATGTTGCGGATGAGTTTCACCGAGACAACCAATCACGTACTGACTGCTTCTAAACTCATGCACGAGATCGACGTAATCAATGAGCAACGGCGGCGTCACTCTTAGTGATTCTCCTAGTATGAGTACGGTCTCAGGCGGCTTTGTGAATACTTTTAAGAAAAAACTCCTACGTAAAATGTTTTAGCGCGAGTTAGAGCACTCCTAGCGGTAAGATAAAAATGCTTTGTGAATACGGCCCAGGTGTATATCAGTATGTAGTGCAGGGGTACTCCCAATACCAAATCTTAAAGGCGCCAATATTTTTTTTTCAATAAGACAAAGGTCCGTTTATTACGGTCATTCAAACTTTTAAACAATTACAACAGATTCTTAACACGAGGTTGCAAAAACAAAAATCATCTGTATGCAGCAGTTTTCATTGTTATCGTGTGCTGTGCTCGATCCCTCAGAGTCGGCAGTGTAAGAGCTGCAGTTATGAATAAAGACGCTGCACCCCTCTTTCATTCGCCTTCCCATTATTGCTTTATAATGTCTTGCGCCCTTGTGTGGTCCACTGAGGGTTCGTCAGGTCCAACATCTTCAACAAAACTCCCTTTTGGCCTCATCATAAAAATCACTAACACCAGCAACTGAGCAGTTGTCAGTGGACTCATCCACAGCTAAGGACAATGCCACTGTGCTTTTTGTATTCCATCACAAAACTGATCTAATCAAATCACCAGCCAGATATAATGTTCCTCTGGGGTTGCTGTGGGAATCTGAGAGGGGAATTTGCTTGATTTGACCTGTTATTTCCTCTTTTAGTTTGTCTTCACACATGGTCTCCATCACTTCAGGTCATGCATTATTTTATACTTCAGTTAGGATCCGTGGAAAGCCCTTACCTACGGCCTATTCAATCAAAGTGGTACTTTCCTTTGGCTGGGCAGTGTAGTTTTACACACTGTCTTATTGACTTTCTCAGGAGCTTAAACTGTTTTTTGGGGCAGACCCCCACAAAGAAAAACATATATTTACACACGTAAGGTCATCATCTTAACAGTTTGTATTGCTCATCCGTGAGCAGAGCATTCAAGTTGACATGTCTATTACGGGCTGAATGCGGTTGATTACCATCTTGTTCAGCAAAACGCCTCACAAAACTGATTAAGATCAGACAGCTTAGTGCGTTTTGTTCCCCCGGGTGCTATGCTGAGTACAGCCAACCTGACAGGCTCTTCTCTGTCATGCAGACCGCAAATACCTGATTCCTTCAGTACTGTTGGATCCGATATGCTTCATCGTTTATGCGCGAGTAACCGTTCAAATGAACATCGCCGCATATGCATATTTCCCCGCTCGCTTGCCAGGGCTCGGAGGGTTACAAGGGTGCGTCTTGTGCTGCATTCATCTTGTACTCGGAGCCATTAGAGATGTTCTCTCATAAATGTCCGATGAGCCACAACTTTCTTTCAAACCAAAGCGCCAACTGGGGTGGCAGCTGGGGTGGCAAGGCCTATTTGAGGGTAGCAGTTCCCCGCATTCCACCCGTAGGTGAACTATGACTACTAGCTCGTACAGATGCAACTAGATGAGCTGTTAAACTCTCGCTCTGGACTTTTTTTTTTTTAAACACACTTTTTCTCCCACCCGCAGTTCCCCAGAAGACCGCCCTTACCTGCTGCTGTGATTCGCAGACATGTTGGTTGGGGGAAAAAAACGTCTAACCGGATGCTTGCTAGTAAGATAGTTTCACTCTGGGATGTGATGTGATTGGACCACTGCTGTTGACAGTCGGGTCGAGGACACAGATGGCTGGTGGAAGCAGGGGCAACTCGGGACATGGAGAGCTCACCCGTCTGTTGATTGATTGAACAGGTCATTGGGCCTGGCAAACAGTTTTGCCGTGCATCCGCC